ACTGACATACATATTATTTATTTATATATGGGTTTGCATAGGATATGGTCTGGATTAGGGTTGGATATTAATTATAAAAAAATCAGACCCTTACCCCCTCTCCCCATTTATCATTTAATTTTTTTTTAAAAATGATTTATATCAATTTAATTTTATATTTTACACATTCATCTAAGATTTAATAAATTTTTTTCTAAAAAAAGGTTTCCCACCAAGAAACAACCATGTGAAGATAATATAAGATAAAAGAAAAAAATTAAAAGAATTCAAAATCAATAAAAGTTTGAAATAAGTAGCACAATTTTTAATATATATGTTCCACATTAATTAAACCTTTTCTATAAAATATAAGATCATGGCCTCTACAAATGAATCTTGTAAATAAACTATAGTCTCTCATATTTGTAATGCAATTTGTTCAATAAAATTACTTATTTAGTTCTAACTTATTATTTTATAGTGTGTGTATAAAAATAAAAATAAAATATATATATGTGGGGCGGATCGGGTACCCGCGGATTTTTAATTATGTGACCCTAACCCACCCCGCATCTTAGCGGGTACCCGACCCTCTTTTGACCCGATCAAATAATAAAAATCGGATATCCTAATTTTCGGATCGGATCGGATATGACGGGGTTCGGGTTAGCGGATAATTTTGCCCACCCCTACTCATAGGGTATGGATTTGGATTTGAGTAGAGTTCGAGTTTGAGAAATTAAACCCAAATCCTACCCAAATATATTGGGTTTGTGTTAAAATTAAGTAAAACCTGATCCATTGACATACTTAAACATCGTTTTCCTTAAAATGCATCAGTAGAACCCTCCAAAACCTAGTTTTCCTAATTATATCCCCTGAAATTTGAAGTTTCTTTCATTCACCCCCCATCTCCCCACTTTATCAATGTATTACTAATTGATAATTGTTAAGAGGGAACAACGAAGTACACGTTATTCCTAGAAAACTAGAAAAATGTCTTCACCAAACTAGTAGAACTTTTCATTCAATCAGGTTTGATATATTCTGACCAATGTGAAGTTGATATGAATTGAAGTTTTATCCTATGTCCTCACTTTAGATTGTTTTCTGATGCTAAAACTAAATTAAAAAAGAAATCACCTCAGAAAGGACTTGTTTAAAATCCAGAACGTGTCATATTTGGATATATCTGGCGGCACATCTAAATTACGGACGTTACTATTTGATATAATTCGACATTTCATGGCAAACACATATAAGTTACATACATTTCTATTCAATGTGTTTGACATCTCAGATGTGAATTACCGATGCTAGTGTTGCATGCGTTTAACCGTTCAAAATTAAGGGAGCACGATGCGTTTAAAGTGATTTTGGATTGATGTAGCGGCCCTTTTGAAGCTCCAAAGTTATTTTTCTATGTATGTGGCAATTATATAAGAAAAGGTTTTGGCATTTTAAGTATGGATTTTCACACCAAATCACCCCTATTATTTGTCCGACAAGACATTGTAGCGTTTATTCCATGCATTTAACCGTTCAAAACAAAGGGGGTCTATATGTGTTTAAACATTTTAATGATTTTAGATTTACGTAGCAACTCTTTTGAAGTTTGAATGTTATTTTTCTACGTGTGTGACATTTTTTTTGTCTCTTTCTTTTCTTTTTTTTTTTTTACCGTCCCGCTGCTCCCCACATCATTCTCATCTCTAATCATTAGGTACAGAATTTGAACCCTAAATTTGATAGCGAAGAAGTGACAACTTTTATTAGAATTTGTTTGGCGTTTTAAGCATGGGTTTTCACGCCAAATCACCCACTATTATCTATAGGACACGACAATTGCACGTGTATTCCGTGCATGTAATAGAAGGGAGATGCGTTTGAACATGTTAATAATTTTGGATTTATGTAGTGTTTTTTTTTTGAAGTTCAAGCGTTATTTTTCTACGACTTGTGTAATCATGGGTCTTGGCATTTTAAGCATGGATTTTCACGCTAAATCACCATTATTATTTGTCCGATATGACAATTTAACGTTCATTCCATGATATTTAACCGTTCAAAAAAAGGGAGAGGGGATGAGTTTAAACATTTTAACAATTTTGGATTTATGTAGCGACGATTTTGAAATTCAAAGGTTTTTACACGCATGACAAGCTTCTTGAGAATAGGTTTTGGCATTTTAAGCTTGGATTTTCACCCCACATCACCTCTATTATTTGTCTGATATGACAACACAACGTTTATCCCATGCATTTAACCGTTCAAGAACAAAAAAAAAGGAGGGCAGGATGCGTTTAAACATTTTAATTATTTTGAATTTATGTAGCTATCCTATTGAAATTCATACGTTATGTTTTTTGGTGCGATTGACAACTCATATGACAATAGGTTTTGGCATTTTAAGCATCACGTTTAACTCCAAATTACCTCTTCGATCTGTCGGATATGGCCTTTTAACGCTTTTAGACAAAAATACCACGTGAAGGTGGCCCTTAATCTTTTAACCCTATATAAGGCCGTTTCGCCATAGGACAAAATGCGTTTATCGAGTTCACACACAAGAACCGTGCCGCAAAGAAACACGATTTCGGCCAAGCGTCTCGCTAAAAGATAGTAATTCAGTAGGAAAAAAAAAAAAAAAACAATATCGAACGTTTGGCTAAAAGATAGGTTTTTCTTGAACTATATCAGATGTTTTCAATGTTCTATAGAATATTTGAATTTGTCGAGTTTAATTTGCATTTGAATCCAGCGTTCGCTATTTTGGATTTATTTGACAGCGCATCTGAAATTTTAGACGTTACATTTCTATTCTTTTGACAAGTTTCAAAGAGAAAAAAAAAAAAAAAAGGTTACGAAATCCTTTTCTTCTAACCAAAAAAAAATAAAAAATCACCACTAACTTTTGTAGGAAACGATTAAACATACGTTAACTGGAGGGATTTTCTTGGCTGGCCTGGTTGGGGGGGGGGGGGGGGGGGGGGGGGGGGAGGCAGGGCTTGTCCTTTCGAGTTAAAACACAAATAGTTTCATTTTGCAACCAAGCATGAGAATCACCTAAACAAAAACTTTTAAAACTCTGATTAATTTAGTCTAGAGACTATAACCTTCGTCTCACGAGTTACAACCAATCATGATTTTTCTTTTTTCTCCAAAAATATTTTTATTTTTATATTTTTCGTGAACATATTTTTCAATCACTTTTATACCTCACATACGTTATATCGTTACAGTATATTTTTCTAACGAAACTCTAAAAAATAACAATTCAAACAGACTCTTAGCATGCTAAAATAAATCATTAAAATCCAATATCAATCTAAGGGTTTCTAAATTTTGTGCTCTGAAAGCACGAGATATATTATGAGCTTAGAAGCATTTCCTTGACATAAATTTTTGAAGAAAATATATATAACTCAGAGGATAAAATATACTAATTATTTTTTTTTGTGAACAAAACACACTTTTCACAAAACACCACATATTTTTTTTTGTATTTTATCTTGTGGAATGAAGCATATAATTAGAAACGCACTTTTCACAAGAATGGGAATTTTCAATAGCCAAAACCAGGGGAGGGTGCCTTAAAAAACAGATGGTACTTTTGCTAAAAGTAAGGACCTACATCTACTTCCCTCTTCACTGTCAGATTTGACAATTGATATGGGTCCCCAGAAGGCATTGTGCCAAACTGTGCACAAATGTACCAAGGTGCAATAATAATCATCATGTGACATTTCAATTCATACATTAATATTAATATAGTATAGTATACTAATACAGTAGAAAGCGCTAACAAAAATTGGCTTAAATGATAAGACGGGATCGATTTTCTCAAGAAAAATTGCGTTATGATAATACTGCCATGAATGTGATTACATATATGGTTGTGGAGTGACGACAAGTTAAAATCCTGTAAACAATCTACAATTTCGAAGATGTATACACTAACCTTTTTCTCTATAGTACGTGTGTGTGTTGATCCTAGTGATAATTTGAGGCTGAACTTTGCTAAACTTTAATTATCACCAAAAAAAAAAAAAAGGAAAAAAACAAAGGATGGTAGTAGAAGGGAGCTTTGGAGGGGTACACATCCTTTCATGTCTCGCAGCACTTGATGCGCTTTCCGTTGATAAGACTAGACCCAATTACCAGATTCGTGTCAAGTGTCAACGCCGTTCGACTGTCGAAATATATAAAGTAGTTAGCTAGTCTCTGTCACTGAGTTCCTTTTTACAAGATCTCTCCCCTCCTCAGTTTCTTTAATGTTTAATCCTCCCACGGACAAAACTTGGACTGACTCTAGTCACTCAACTCTTCAGTCTCAAAGTTGCATCAGTTACAAAATTCACTGAACTGGAACAACCAAATTTTAAGCGTTCCCCCCCAACCAGCAAGTCGTTTATTTATATGGATAGATAGACGGACGAGAGGCCGAAACGGTTGCAGGTGACGGTTTTGATCATTTTTAACAGTGTGTAATTTTGATTGCACACCTGTAATTTTATTTATATAACGTGTAATTTTAGTATAAAATTTTGTGACACGAGTTATAAAAATCGATATACAACTAGTGATCTGACCGCACATTTTTTTTTGCCAAAATCTGACCGTGAACAGTTCAGGAGCGGTCATTCTGCCCCTCATCCATAGATAGACAGATAGATATGGAGCCACTCGAGAACCAGAAACATGTTGACGTCCTAATCTATATATCTCACTCAAATAAAGGAAGGTAGGGTGTGGTCGCTCAAGTACTACTATTTCATAACATCACGATTTCATGTCCCCCAAGCCCTACACATCAGTGATTAATTTCAATCACATAATATATGGAGGACAATAATGATCAATACAACAACCTATCAGCCAAAGTGTCGATGCAGAGAATTTTGTACGCAGTCAAAAGACAAGAAAGATGAAAATTAAGGCAAATGAAAGGGGAGGGTTTCTTTCCTTGTTAAATCCCATTCTAACGTCTTAATTTTATTACTGTTTCAACATATATATAAACATATATAAACATCTCATGCATTCATCATATCACAGCCCAAGTCCAGCTAACATCTCACGAGTCATATCATATTCCTTCCTAGCACTTTGATATTACTATTATCTATCATTACTGCCTATCAGAAAAAAACTTAAATCTAAACTGAGGATTAAAAAGAGTCTAAAAGATTTAAAAGGTAAAATTCCATATATATATTTTTTTGCTTGTATATGATTGCCATCCATGTTTTCCATATCACTAGCAACTTGATCAACTGTGAATTTGATTGAAACCTTCGCACCATCAGCAGCTCCACAGCTCCTCCCCCTTCACCGCTTCTCTGTCCTGGTTTTAGCAAGAAATCACATGACCCTACAGCTCGAGGAGGCGTTCTCATCATTGAATGCCTCGGTGTAGTGCTCGCCAGGGGGCGGGGGGGCATGGTAGGGGTAGGATGAGTAAGGCTGGGGTGGCCAGTAATTGACGGCGGGCGGTGGCCGGGCATACATCATCGGCTGAAACCTCTCGTTCCCATTAGCCCTTTGTTGGTTCATCATCATGGCTGCCATTTGTTGCTGATAGTAGGGGTTTCCGGCCATCATCTCAGGTCCAGCACCTTGGAAGTAGCCGCCGCCGCCGCTACCACCACCATTACCACCATTCATTGCTGGAGCTGGCAGGCCTTGGACTGCAGCAACATTAGCCATTTGACCCATCTGGCTCAGTTGGCCCATGGGTACACTGCCCATCAGGCCCATTGGCATGCTCCCTGCTGGAGGGCCCACATTACTACCACCAGCATTCATAGCCATCATGTTTGGCATGCCATGTAGCCCATCATTCATTCCACCCCCTTTCTTGGCCCCATTAGCATTAATGTTTGGATAACCGCCCCCCCCACCACCACCACCTCCTCCTCCTCCTCCTCCTCCTCCTCCACCCTGTCCACCGTTTCCGTTCTTGTTCTGCCCTCCACCATTTTTGCCATCTTGAGGCATCCCACCACCATTCTTACCACCCTTTTGGGCTCCTCCTCCGCCTGCGCCTGCACCTGCACCTGCACCACCTTGGTTCTGATTATTGTTCCCATTACCACCTTTCTTACCACCACCATTATTGTTCCCCCCGCCACCCCCAAGATTCATCTGCACAGGTATATTTCCACCGCCACCAGGTCCAGGTCCACCTTTCTTCCCATTTGCTGCACCATTATTAGCACCCTTCATTAGCTGAGGATTCTGCCCATTCATGATGTTATTCATCATCATGTTAGGCATCATCCCCCCAGCCAGAGGATTTCCCATTCCCAGATGTGGCTTCATCTTATTATTATTAGCTGGGGGGCCGTCATACATTTCATCATCATCAATCTCGTCATCGTCAAACTCATCATCGTCATACTCATCATCATCAAACTCATCATCGTCAGAAAAATACTCATCTTCTGCAGGCATATACTTGACAGCCTTCTGGTTGTTGTTCCCAAAGGGCATAGCAGGCATTTTCATGTCCTTCAATTGAGGCAGCGTATCTTGCAAGGCTTTCAAATGTTGAAGCTGCTGCATTGGATTCATGCCTTGCCCAATTGGTACTCCCCCTTTTGGCTGCTGCTGATTATTTTGAGGCAGCGTATCTTGCAAGGCTTTCAAATGTTGAAGCTGCTGCATTGGATTCATGCCTTGCCCAATTGGTACTCCCCCTTTTGGCTGCTGCTGATTATTTCCGCCTCCACCACCACCACCACCCTTCTGACCACCTCCACCACCACCAGCACCACCCTTCTGACCACCACCACCACCACCTTGACCTTTATTGTTCCCACCTTTGCCACCGTCAACATGCAAATTCTTGAACTGGCCGTTCAGCTGGTTGTTGTTATTAGCCTTTGGTGCACCCCAAATTTCAGCATGTTTCCCACTTTTTGTTAGCTTCTTGATCAATGTCTCCGGGTCTACAATTCCAGATATTGTCACCTTCCCAATTTCTGAGTCAATATGCGTCTTGTAAACCCCTACAACAAGCAGAGACCAAAAAACAATCGATTAGACCAAATAATAGTACCACATTTCAAAGGCATAAAAATAAAAATCAAATTTTTGTAAACAAGAATGAAATTCGGTACCAATTTTGCTTTAACCATTTGGGGTAAAAATCGAAGAACAGAGGAATCAATATAGGGAAAATAAAAATTGAGTCTTGAAAAGGAAGGTACATACCATCAATCTTCTGCAAGATTTTCTTAACCTTTTTTTTGCAGCCCTCACAGTGTATGTTGACTTTGAGCGCATATGTCTGCATGCACAAGCAAAGCCACAGAGCAAATAGCCACAGTTAAAGTTGCAAACTTTTATCAATCAAACAATCTAAATAAAACACGAAAAACAAATTTCTAAGGGGGCAAAACATATCTAATTACAAAATCCAGGAATGTAGCCAAAAAACTTTCACCCAGCAGTCAGAACAAAGTGAAAACATCAGACTCAAGCAAAGCCCCAAAAGCAAAAGCCAATGAAGTAAAAGAAAAAGCAACCAAGAAGAAAAAAAGAGCACATAAATGTTTCTATATTTGTGGGTATACCTGGATCTTCAAGATCTCTTCCTTACTCATCGTTTTTTTTCAGTTCAAGGCACAGAAGTACAAAACGGAGAAGAAGTACAAAACGGAGAAGAAAAATGAGGGGCAAGGAAATTTAAAGCCGGTAGATCTGCAAAAACATGGAAATGGGATTCTGCGTTGGTGACGAAATGTGATGAATTTTCATGCAAAACCGGCAAATGAAAAACAATAAAAAAAAGTTCTCTTTCTTTTCTTTGTTTATAAACAAGGGGGGAGTAAAATGGGAGGAAACAACGGAAAATGGGCCTGAAAGACACACTCCTGTTTATACAAACAAAATGCTGTCTTTGAGAGCTCTTTAATATGAGAGTGAGTGAAGTGTGTGTTGTGTGTGAAAGAGAAACACACTCAGAGGGGCAGGTTGTGGGTAGACATTAAAACACCTCTCTCTGCATTCTTCCTTTCCTCTAATTCAGAGATGGAGAGAGAAGAGAAATGGAGCAAGTCATTACCATTCTACTTAACATTAACAGAGCAGAAAAAGAAAAAAAAAACGAAATGGAAGCCAGAGACTACCGGTGCTGGCAAGGCCAATGAGAAAGAGAAAGAAACGAAAAGAAAGGAGCTACGGCCTACTACAGAAATGAGAAGGGGCTCTCTACTCTTTCTTTATTTATATACAATTCTTTTTTGTTTTTTTTCAGCTGAGATTACAAAAATCTGGATATCATCAATCTCCCTCATTAATTAATTAAAATAAAAAAATCAATCTACCTCATTAACTCTTACTTTTTAACTTTGCCTTTGTCCTCTTTTGACATTGCAGGTTTTGGCTTAGCTGGCTTGGCTTTCAAGCCCTTTGAGCCTTGGCTTCGAGTTACCAAATCTTCTTTTCTCTTTTTCTTCTTTTCTGTCTCTTTTTTTTTTCCTTTTTTTTTTTTTTTGGTTTGCTTCTGTTTAGGTTCCTGTGGACTAAAGTGTGGGCTGGTTTTGGGCTTTTTACCCACCTAGGTTATCCCCTTTTTTTTTACTTACTTTTTTTGGTGTTGTGGCTAACTGTTTGTAGGATAATTATCTGGTAAACCCGGTCTATAGGTAAACCATGATTTTTAAGTTATGGTAAATTTTTGAGCACTCGATACAAATTTTTAAAGTTAGGGTATTATCTAGATGGGTTTTATTTGAAGATGTTCCACTGTCCTTGGCAAATGTAGGGTAGCTTCCCTTAATTTTTTTTGGGTGGGATTTAGTAATTGCGCCCTATACCAAATTTGGAATGTAACCCAAGTCTTTCTGCAAGTCTTATATTCTTTCCATGTATGACCTAAACTCTTGAGAGGGATGTGTGACCTAATCTTTAAACCTGATATACAGTAGTAAGTTAATTAATACATACCTTATTTTTCCCGAGAGCATGTTATCTACTAACAAGTAATCCTACTCGATGCTGATAAGTAACATGCCATATAGGGATGCCCTGAATCTTTCGAACTAATGAACTTTCTTTATTATGTCAATAAAAATGAAAGTATGAACCAACAAGAAACTATTAGCTAAACAAATCAAGAAGCACAAAGTATAGGATCAATGGCATAATAGGGATGAGTTGATGATTCTGGCCTTTATCTACGAAATTTGCACGATTTTTAGTAAGTTATAATCTAGTCCGAAGTAAAAGGTTTTACGACCATGTTATCCCTTTTTCATTTTAATTGAAATGACACGCCCTATGTAGCAGCATATGCACTCGTAAGATTGTTTAATATATGCGAGGTAAAAAAATGCGTTCACAAAGTACGTGAACATGTTTTGAAGAAAAAGAGCACTTCAAAAAGCAGTCCACATAAAAGCTACACAACAGCAAGACTAAGATCCTGCATTAGTATACTCAGCAGGACCTGAAAGTTGTAACCAGTGTTTGGTATATTTCAGGCATTGACAAGATAGTTTGCATGAATGGTTCAAGCCAACTAATTTAGAACAAACTTTCTTGGTAAATTGGTTCTGTGAAGCACAAGTTCGTAGTAAGAATCGTTCAAATGAACTGCACTCAAATGACATGGGTATTTATTCTCCTTATATTAAAGTAAAAAAAAAAACTGGTATCACATATTGAGATTGTATATTTCATTCTTGAACATGATTATTCTACCAAAATGGGTGACGGACTATGACCGTATATCATATCTAAACCGCCAAAAGATTTTGTATTCAAGAAGAAAGGGTCCCCAAGACATGTACTCAGTGATTGTATAGATACATATCTGGTGCCCATGAGGCCATGATGATATGGGACCAGAACCTTCAAGTTACTAAATAAATCCTCGACCCTGGAATAGGCCGGGTTGCAATGTTTCGATCAATCTTCAGCCTCGGTCCCTTTTTCCAGTTTTGGGGAATAGAATTAGAATTAACAGAGAGTTCATTCCAGGAGTAACGTTTTTGATATTTAATGCTCCCGCCCCGCAGACGAGGATAAACTTTGGGCCAAAATCTTACACTCTACGCAAATACGCAGAGAAAAATGATGCAACTGCGACTTTAAAAAAGTTCCAGGATTTCTTTCTTTTCTGGCCTCTATCATTGAACCCATAAAGAAAAATGGGAAGGGGTTGTCAGTGCCATTTACGACAGGATGCAAGTGAACCTTGGTCAAATGTTTTTTCCTTCGAGGGGAAAAGCCTCATTGCACAGGCGAACTCGGAAGTCACCAGATGCATCCTCCATGGCACCCAAATTTCATGTGAAGTGATAGTGCAGTAAAAGACCATAGAATGACTTTAATTGCACGCCAAAAAGTACCGGATATTTTGTTTGAATTCGATCATATGATTGTAAGATTCTTTTACTGGAAGAGTAGCTTTATGTTAAGCTATCATGTCAACCTAAAAAATTTGTTTATGATAGATACTATTGGAGCTGGACAGATGATTATTCGACTACATCTCCATGCAACAAGAAATGTAAGCAATCAAATGGTAAATTAGTAAATGCCCTGATCCCAGGGATATGTCAAATAAGCACAGACAGCTTGATTCTTGTACTGTTATATTTATATAGCACTACTGTTTAAACTTGAAGCAAAGTTACACTGAGCACGAAAATGAGCAATGACTACCTTTGTGGCCTATCTTTTCTTCCCCCCCCCCCCCCCCCGCGGGGTCCGTCCCAGTGGTTTTCAATCGAAATGGATGGGCAACAATTATGCATCACTATTGCCTTTTATGTTCAAGAATTACATGTGTGCAACACATGGTAGAGGGCTGTCCATTATCTGCGAGAATAGGGATTGATAATTGAAAATATACCATTTCTACAGGTCTCTGCCATCTCATAGTGCATCCATTATTTGAGCTATTTTTAGAGCTCACATGGCCCATATATGCAGTGCATATAACTAGTCCTCCAGATTTTAGTTAGCAATTGGAAATCTAAGCATATACAGTAAGTTGTAAAAAAAAAAAAAAAAGTTACTTCCGTTCTGGGGAAGGTACGGAATTTTTGATGACTTCAATCTCAAACTGTCTTATTTTTTTCCCATTGGCATCTGATGTGCAATCTGCACAATGGTTTTGTGGTCTCTTGGCGTAAATTATGTACCTCCAAACAACACTCAAGTGGGAATTTTTGGGTCTATAACTTCTTTCTTTTTTTGCCCTTTTTGGCTGTTAAATAGCACTTGAGGGGATTACAAGAAAGTTGAATGGAAAGAAAATCGCCATAGTTATTGATTCAAACACTGCTACTAATTAGATGCCGATCCTTTCTTAGAGGGTCCATTATTCTCTTTTCTGTATCTGCTGTTCCCTTCATCTCTCATTTATTTATGGCTAAATCATGGATTTTGATTTCATATAATTTCTTTCATACTAGATTATTGAATGAGTCCAATAAACTTTTAAACGAAGATATTGCATATATCCAAGTCTTTTCCATTGATTTTTAGTCGTGGTTCTTTTCTTCCATCAAGTGTAATGTTCAATCATGCTTTATTTGCTTTAGAAATAAAACACGACATCTATAGTATTCCAATTCCATGTTCAATCATCTATCATAAAATTTTAGGACCCGAACAAGCTAGGGGAGGAAGAGAAAATTCCAAAATGACAGCAATCCATTTACTGTTTCATGTACCCAATGCTTTCCATGTCTGTGTCCCATTATAACAAGCAATTTTGGCATCCTCCAGTCGAATCTAGCAGGTCCATCTATGAGTAAATATATGCCGTACGAAAATGTGTTCACACAACATCTTGAAAAAATAACTGGGATCGAAAGTCAAAATGAATGTACCGATGCAGGCAGAAAGGAATCTGCAAGGGTGAAAATTATAGGCCGTGGCAGAAAAAGAGAGGCTGGGCCATATGATATTCATTGATCAACCAACCATCCATCATTTAGTTAGGTGTCCGATTTCAAATAGTTGGCAGTGAGATTACACCTTCTGGATTTAAGCAGAGGAGATGGATATCTTCCTGCATGCCTCAACTTCATTGAAATGCAGTACTTGATATATTTCTCTACGCTTCCCCTTCAATATTCTGTTCTTGTTTTGTCTTCTGTGGGCTCAGATATTTTTAGGGCACTGATTTTCACTTGAATATGTATGAATTCTTGTTTTACCTCAAAATTATTTGAATAGTAGCTAAGGTGAAAAAAAAAAAAAAAATTCCCAGTCTCATTTTTTTAAAGCATATTCGATGAAGGAGATAGGACATCTTTTCACCTTTAAGTACATACCAAAGATCCTAGAGGGCATCCAATGTAATGGTTTTTGTCCATATCTTTTCATGAACCAGAAATCTTTTAAGCTCCTGATCCATAATGAGCAGTATTTGAGTTATAAACCCTACCAAGACAGCAATCATAAATTTAATCAACAGACTTCTTCTGTACTAGTACCATGATTGGTATGAAGCAGTTAATGTTTTCCTGCTTCCTTCTGCCCTATGAAAACAGAAAGCCGGTTCATACATCATAGGAGTTCAACTGCAGAATGATTCGCCAAGGCAGTGAAAATCTAAGAACTATGGAAAGCTATAAGTCAATTTTCAACCTAAACTTCGCGACTCCAAACACATGGGTAATCAATACCTTCAATGATTATAAATATGCTTCCCACAAATTTCATGAAGTAGTCTACTTCAGTGCAACTAGATTACGGTCCCCCTCCTCTTTCAAACCAAACCAAGAAGCATGAATAGAAACAAGATTGCAAGATTACAGAAAGTTTATATTCTGCATTACCAATTGGAAGTGAACAAAAAATGCTTATTAATATCAGCCCTCAACCTCCTATCCTCTCCTGTTCAGAGGTGCCCATTAAGAGCCCCACCTGAGCTTGGAGATGCGCAGTTTGCCTCTCTCGGTACTAACTTCTAGGGCAAATATTCTCTCCCGGCCACCCTTTTAGGCTGTTAATAAGACAGAAGAAAAGTTACTCAGTATTCATTATTCATGCAACACGTAGATCTTCTCTTGCTTTCTCTCTGCATGCCACATTGTGCAATTTTTCTGACAGTAAATAACAAGATGCAAAACCCCAATAGAAGTATATAAATGGTATAATTTTATCCCACTTTCTTGAGAATTTCAAGAATAAACCTTTAATTAGTACGAGAACTGCCTCTGCTACTCAAAACAGAATAGAAATATTTATGCAAGAAAGTGCAACTTCAGTAGATAATTTGAACAAAATATTAAGCTGGATTACATCTTCTTCGTAATGTAAAACAGGAATGATGCAGCAAAACCCACAAGGAATCAGACAATATCATTGAAACAAGTCAATCTTCACTTAAACTTCATGTGTTTATCACTGAAATTAAGTTACATGAGAAGTAATCCAACTCAAAGCTAAAAACTTACAGATGCCAAAAAGGCTATTGAGACTAGGTAGTAATCACATTAATGTGACTGAGAAAAAGGTAATTGCTTTACTTCGTTTTCTAAAAGGTTCAACTTAAAGTGGCCTAGGTTGTATATGCATGAGAACTCCCGCACCCCCCCGCCCCCACCCCTCAACAAACAAAACCTCCTCAACAAACGAAAAGGAAATAAAAATCTGGATAGCATGCAAAACAGTGGGACGATATCACTACATTGCAAAAGATATACTTCCATGTAATATTCTTACTAGTTCAAGCCTATTTCTCCTAATGTCTGAGCTCTTTAAATTAAGTTTTTGCATACAACCTTGCCATAAACTGACAGCTGCAATAATTTCCACAAACAATAAAATGACAAATTTCTGGAGCAGAAAAGGAAATCATATATCAAGAGTGCTCATGAGCGAGATAAAAGGTAAACCTGTCTAAACAAAGGCAAATCCCTATCCAACATGAAGTAACCTTTGCCTAAAAGTTTTGTAATAGACATGAAGAAGGTCATACTTAAGGTTTCCTAGAACAGAATCCTAAGAGCAAAAGTAACCTTATCCTACGTCTTTCAGACTTTCAGTAGTTAGCCAGTACAATGAGAAAGGAGGAGGTTCGTAGGGAGTTGTAAAGAAAATTATCAAGCGTACATGTTAAAGGTTGTTCACTTCTTTTGCATGATTAAGTAGTATCGTATCTCATTAACAGTAGCCAGAGACGAATCCAACTTGATTTTGAAAAAAAAAAAAAACAGAGAGAGAGTTGCTTTTCCTATTTCTTTTAAATCACTTGTCCAAAATACTCACTATACTGACACCTGTAAAACACTAAGGCTATCAGCTATTGGATCCAGTTCCCCCATTTCTTGTAGAAATTAAGCAGCAACAAGTATATCTGAATAGCAAAAACACCAGGGCCATTAACAGAAATAACCCTAGCACGAAGATATATTCATAGGGATTCATTAGTTCACTATCATCATTTTTTCCCTCTGAAAGAGTTCAATGAGTCCCAACCCCTATCAAAAGAGCCAGTCTGAAGTTAAGGTTGGGTGGAGGATAGGATTCTGGTACCCAACAAACTTCCCGATTGAAATGGTAGCTAGCTCGTTAAAGGCATACAAGGCTTTTCAACTTACTCAGCTCTGAAGCTGTTCTCGAGGCTTGGCTCAAGAAGGCTCGACTTCGGCTCAATATTTAACTAAATGCATGAGAGGTCAAAAGTGGCCCACAAAACATGTCCATCCAAGTGTGTAGCAGCCAAATGGTTGCAGTATTAACGTATAACACAAAAATAATACCTTCAATTCAGGAAAGGAAGAAGAATATCACATCACATGTCTTTGTGTTAGAGCAGCAATTTCCAATGATATTTCGCAACGATCCTGCAACCCTTTGACAAGTAATTGACACCAAAACCTTGAAAAAAAGAAACATTTTAAAATTCCAACCATCTGGTTAGCAGATAGTGAAACCAGTCCATAATCATGCCCGATTTTTCCACTTCAAGAGGCACTCATTAATTTTTTCCATAACAAAAGGAACCATCTGCATGCAAGGAACATGTATTGTAGAGGGCCAATGTGATGCAAAACCAAAATGAAATGGTTAAAAAATAAAATGCACATCTTGCTAGGTCTATGATTCCAAGAAAAATAGAAAGTATCTGCATACATCCCATGGCTTATGAGATATTATTATATCCTAGAACAACAAAAGCTTAACAAGGTTGAGCATTGAATAGCAAATAATAAATACTCGACGCATATTTCATGCATATGACAATATTGTTTTCAATGTTATGAAACTTCCAATTGAGCAACAGACACATCCACTAATAGGATTGACATACTGCTATTAGACACTTCCACTAAACAGATTTCATAGTTAAACACACCGTCAAGAATATGCCTACAATTACAAGTTATATAGAACTGCCAATAATATGTTGATGCTGCGGAGACGGGATTTGAACCCGTGACCTCAAGGTTATAAGCCTTGCGAGCTACCAAGCTGCTCTACCCTGCACAGAAGAGAGTAAGTTCCTAGATGAACAAAGACTCGATGTGATTATCAAATCTTATTCATAAACAGACAACATGTTGTTAATGCTCTGTGATTCAAGATAAAGAACTGATGCTTTATATCAAACTCTGACCTAATCACTGAGAAATAACAGAAAGCTGCCAACAGCGCCTTCTCCCCCATTCAACTCCCCAGGAGAAAAAGTTCAAGCATTATATTACCATTATTTCTATAACTTCCTCACTTCGTAGTTACATTACTTTCTTTGACTTACAGTTCAAAAATTCAAATTTCAAACTGAAAACTGAAATTTATTGAGGCATATTGTACACAAAGAATGTAATTAAAACAATTACAAACTCATAATCAGATCTCTTGGGTACATAACACAGTCACCATTTAATACAAAGATATCCAGTCTGAGGCACAAAGATAATATCACAATCTAAAGAGATACTACCATAACTAGTTGATTATGCAAAAAGAACTAATATCTCACTAACTGCCATCTGAGCATCCAATCAGGTACATATCCTACTTATCATGCCCTAGAATAGTTTTTAATAATATTCTAAGGAATTTTCAGAGATTCATAAGACATCTACAAGCAAGTTGGTTTAAAAGGATTATCTCAGACAATTCCAGAATATATTGCAAGCTAAAGAGCCTTAAGCTTTTAGAAAACAACCCACCTGTTGCTTTGCTCAAAACCCATCAGTCAATCCAAATCATCCCAAATACAATTACTCATTTCCAACTCAACTTTCTCCATCCCCCTCAGTAACAAGAAATTAATTCTCAAAATATTAGATCAACAATGCAACAATGATCATGCGTCCATTGTTTAGCCGACTACACAAAGCTAGATGTTCATAAAAGCTCTCATTACAGTTCTAAAATGTTTTTGTTCAGACTGCAGGAATTGCAGATTTCAGTGTATCACAATAGTGGGACTAAGTATTTTTCAGATACTAATCCTAGTTATCCAACATTTCTGTATCCAACTTGCGCAATAATTTCTGCGCTTCTAATTTGATTCAATATCACTTAGCTTCTATCCTCCACTGGTGCTCCATTGTTGTTCGTTCCTCCTACTCAATAGTCTTTTTTTACTGAAGTAATAGTCTTCTTACTGAAGTTTATGCCAATGAAAAAGCTCAAATTACAATCACCCTCTTTTCACATAACTAATTTAAAGACCCTCGATTCTACTCTATTCCGAGCGGAAAGAAACGAAGTAAATTAAAAGATCTGTTTACAATGAAGTAAATGCTTAGAGAAACAAGCATGAATAACCCAAAAAAGAAAAAATGAAGAAAAATGTTACCTTTCAGCAGCTGATCAAGGGGTGTGCTACTTCATTCAAAGGGCAGTTAAAACTATCCAAGCCAAATCTAAAGTACCATCTCCCAGCATTATTCACCCACTCTAAGACATAAAAGGGTAAGCTTCAATTAAAAATCCAAATACTTATCGTTTCACAAAAAAAAAATTAAAATCCAAACTTTAACGGTTCATTTATGAAGGCGTATTTGCACAATTCGAGGCCGGGGGGGGGGGGGGGGGGGGGGAGGAGGGGAGGTTACTAAAAATTTTGGAACGAAAGTCATTTCGGACTCAATACTTATTAGATGATCAAATGACTTTTATTATTCTTGCAACTTAGAAAATATTACGTATTTTTACGTAGAGAAACAATTTAGTCACTTGTGCTAAATTAATCATGATTTTGAATATTAAAAAATTTGAAAATCTTGAATACTAAATTTTATAACAATAATAAATATATTTACAATTAGATTTTATTAAATTATGGATAAAATGTAACTGCACATAATCTTCTTTCCTTTCTTTTCCAAAATACTTGGCGTTTCATTTCTTTTCTTGTAATCTAGACATCTAGACAAGATGGTTAGAAAAATTTTTCTACTTTGATGTATTTGTTTTCAATTAAAATCATACCCCTTTTAATAGTCCAAATGTTGCTTGAGAGTTGTTTTTTTTTAATTACAAATGATGAAAATTTCTTGTTAATAATGTGAAATAATGAACCCAGCAAGTTAAAGAAATAATTCAAAAACATAACATATTTTAGCATATTCTATATTTTTATCATTAGCCATCTATTGTGATTTTTTTTTTAAAAAAAAAGGTCATACTTTGTCTTGTTCAATTCTTTTTCAAAATCTTTCAAATTCTTATACTAATAGCTAGTTTGGATGTTTAGGTTATAAAAGAAAAGATGGTAAATGTTAAGTTATGATAGAAAAAAAAAAGAGAAATGAAGAAAAGAGATTTTAATATTATTTGAGAGTTAAGGTAGGGAAAGGGATGATTTTGGATATATATATCAATAAAAATTTGTTCGGTTGACATTTGAGGACAAAATTGGCATTTAGAAAAAAATTTATTAGGCATTCTCAGCTTTTCCGAACTTTGGTGACGATAACAGTAGGACATCATCCGTCCAAATCAAATGCTTTCCATCCTTTTCTAACCTTCAAAAACTCCTAAACGCTAAAAAGAGTGTCTTTTTTGTGACATTTTCTTCTTTTCTCATCAAATCACAGCTCCCAAACTAGCTATAAGAGTTTAGGAATTTTTCATGTAAATCTTGATTTCCCCTCCAGTACTTTGATTTTACTATTTTATGTAGTACTATGAAAAATATAGTTATTGTTACAAAATTCTATTACACTCGTGCTAGAGTTTAGTTTTTATTATCTATTTTTAACCAATAATTCCTTTTGATAACCAACAAATAATAAGTTAAGGGGTATATTTGGTATGAAATATTCTTCTTACTCTTGAAATCATTATTTTATTGTTGATTTTTTCGAATTGATCGAATTTGTAACAAGAACATTAGTTTTTAAGGGAGATTAATGATATTTTGGAAACCTCGAGACAGGTTTTTGAAATTATCCCAAAAAAAACTGAGAATACAGATTGTGAAATCATCTAATCGAGATAAATTGGATTAAACCCAATATGGAAATCATAACTCCCTACACGAGAAGAAAAAAAAAAAATTTACCCAAGAATCAACAGGTAGGCATCAAGATTTTTCTCTCGCACTTTCAAATTAAGGCAAAGTAGACCATACGGTCCAAATTTTAACACATCGGGTATACCCAAGTGTTCGCCTAAGTTAATGCGTGGTTTTAGACCTTCAAGAGTAAATCATTGGCACTGCCTATTGGACTTGCCATTGAAGAAGGCTTGATGTAAAGGCGCTGTGTGTCGTAGTGTTAAAGATCACGCCTTTTAAAAACGTAAGATGCGTGATGAGCACCAAACCACGCCTTCGAACGGGGTTATCTGAAGGCATTAATTATTTTATTTTTAATTTTTTGGTTCGCAATATGACATTAAGGTACTAATGTTCTGTCCAGTAATAATGTCACAAAAACTCTCTTAAAATGAAAACATTTAGGGTTAAATGCAAAACCCCCCAATGAATTATATATCTTGTTGCAGTTTACCCTCCAAACTATTTTTATAGAGGCTTTGCCCCCTTTTACGATATAGTTGGACAAATCTACCTCTTTTATCTTAAGCATTGTTATTTTTCTATATTCCCTATCATTTTCTTTTTAGATTCTTCCTCTTTATTTTCTTTAAGCATTGTTTAAATCAGTATACTAGATTAATCAAAACTTGTTTATTTCTTAATTTTTCATATCAACATTTTATAAAAAGAATTCTATAGTATAGAAGACTTTTTTTTCCAAATGTTGAAGTCAATATCATTTAAGAAATTGAACTATTCAAATATATAAGAACAAAATAGAGATATTGATTAATCAATTATTAATAGTATTAATAACAAATAAAAAATGAATTACTAATGTTGTTTATTCTTATCTTTTTATTTCACTTCAAATAACAATTGTTAACTTTTCTTTCTTACGTGATATATAATAAGTTACTTTTGTTATTAATAGTTGAGTAATTGTAAACTCTAATTGATTTATATGTACTTAAATTGTTGAATTACTGGATTAGTACATTTTACAATATAAGCTACTTATGTTTTGTAATAAGAAGAGTTTATGATGAATTATTAAGAATGAATTTAACAAATAAATGAATTCAAAAAGCAGTTCAAAAAATATTAAAAATGAAGGGAAACATTGGCTAGTTCCATGAGAGAATGGAAAAAAAGGAAGAAAAGAAATGGGAGAAAAGGGAAAAAATGAAAAAAAAAATAGAGAAAAAAGAAAAAAAAATTAAGATAATAAGGGTAGTGCTGTTCAAACATATAATTCAAGGAAGCAAAATACCATTATTATAGTTTGGGCAAATTATCCAATTGGCCCTTAAACTCTTTGTCTAAGTAAAAATAAGCCCCTCATCTATTTTTTGCTGACTTTAAGCCCTCGAACTTGTAAAATTGGACACCCGTGACCCTTTTTGCCAGTTTCTCCGGTTTTGCAACCGGAAAGTGAATTCACACGAATACCAGTATGCTTTTAAGAAGGGCATTTTTGTCAAAAGATTCAAAACTCGCGCAAAAACTGAAAGAGATAGCCATCGGGTTGGAGAGGAGCGAGCAAAAGTTCCTGTGGGTGGTGCGCAGTCCGCCTTCTGAGGACAAAACCAGCCGCTTTCAAACTCCACCCGCCCCAGATCTGGATTTGTTGCTTCCTCACGGGTTTTTGGACCCGACAAAGGGTAGGGGTTTCGTGGTGAGATCTTGGGCACCGCAGGTGGATGTGTTGAATCATGGGTCGGTGGGTGGGTATGTGACCCACTGTGGGTGGAACTCAGTGTTGGAAGCAGTCTGTGCGGGTGTGCCTATAGTGGGGTGGCCGCTTTATGCTGAGCAGAGGCTGAATAGGCTGTTCTTAGTTGAGGAGATGAAGTTGGCCTTACCAATGGATGAAAGTACGGAAGGTGGGTTCGTGAAAGCAGCTGAAATCGAGAAGCGAGTTAGGGGGTTGATGGATTCGGAGGAAGGAAAGGTGATCAGGGAAACAGCCCAGGCAAAGAAGGAGGAAGCAAAGCAAGCCATCGGCATTTTTGACAGTCTCGCCACCGCAGAGCGCTACAAAGCGATTGTAGATTGAGGTGCCTGCTTTGTAGGCGAGTTGCTGATAGAGAATGCTCTGGGTGAGGGCAAGGAACGGGGAGTGGTGAGACTCAAATGCCGGAGGCTGGTGGGTATCGATCAGGGTAGCAAGTAAAGGGTCAACAACGCGGAGGTGGTGGAGAGCGGCATTGATTTTACCCTCGACCGACAGGGGTTTGATGATCTGGGGCAGAACCCTAGCTGATTGGACAGCACTACGCCTCCGATTCTTGGGCATAGATGCCGTGGGTGTGGAAACTGTGGTGGAAGTAACAGCAGTGCTGATCGACGCGAAGGTGGAGATGATGGTAGTGGTGGTGGTAGAGGAGGAGGAAGCAGTGGTCGGAATAGGTATGGCAGAAGGGGAGGAGGAAGAATCAGTAATTTGTTGGGCTTTGGCCTCGGAAGCCTGCAAGGTGGGCATGAAGGAGGAGTTAACGGCGGTGAGAACAACGGGGGTGGTGGCAATGGTGGATGTAGGGTTAGATGACAGCTTTCGGATTTTTTGAGGTCGAATAGGTATTTTGGAAGGATTGGAGAGCTTCTGGGAAACGTCGGCATTGATGGTGTCCATGGGGGAGGAGACGAATGGGAGGGAGAGGGAGAGGTTGCGGGTGAGAGGAGAGGAGAGGGAGACGGCATCGGTGGAGAAGTCAATGAGGAGAGAGGAGAGAGGAGTTGTTCCTTTTTTGCTTGACAAAAATGCCCTTCTTAAAAGCATACTGACATTCGTGTGAATTCACTTTCCGGTTACAAAACCGGAGAAACTGGCAAAAAGGGTCACGGGTGTCCAATTTTACAAGTTCGAGGGCTTAAAGTCAGCAAAAAATAGATGAGGGGCTTATTTTTACTTAGACAAAGAGTTTAAGGGCCAATTGGATAATTTGCCCTTATAGTTTAGAGGGTAAGCTGCAACAAGGTATATAGTTCGTTTGGGAGGGGGGGGGGGGTTGCATTTAATTCTAAAATTTTTCGTTTAAAAAATGAATTCAATACTTAGCTAGTAAAAGGCGTAATTATTAGTATCTTTAAAAGAAATTTGCTAAGAAACTAAACTAACTGTTGTAAAGTAACGTTTAATTTTTGCAGCTTACAAGTCGTTATGTTCATTTACCATCCTTGCATAGGTATCGAGTATTCAATAAAATTTGTCTCAAAAATTGATTGAACGCCTAACATTTACAAAATTGAGACTGCGAAGAAAATTTTACGCGAATTGTAGCATAAAATAATAATGTACTGCTAAAAATTTGTTTCTCGTGAACTTCTCCACTCTCCGGAGCATTATTCAATTGATTTTATCTTTAGTTGAGTATATGCCACTTGCATAAGAATGAACTAAAGAAAGTAAAACATAATTATACTCTCTTAATTAGTTCAATTATCAACCTAAGTATTTGGTAAATAATTATGTTAAACATACAACGATTAATACCAAAACCTTAGACACTGAATAACCTCATAAACATGAGCCATGTTTTAGAAATTCATCATAATATATTGTATACGGCTATCTTAAAATTTTCTGACCGTTAGCCTTCGATGCCTGGGCAGAGGAGTGTTAAATTCACAGAAGTGACCACAGCATCATCACATGGCTAGGGCTCGAAAGAGTAAATCTTATATGTACTAACAATGTATATATTATCACAGTTGGATGTACGATACATGTGTAAGATTTTAGTTTCAAATTCAAATTTGAATTATATATCATGCATCCAATGGTGAAAATGTATACACTATCAGTATATAAAAGATTAATTCTTTCTTCTTAACGTTTCTATTTAATATAATTGGAGTCTAAATGCGAACAGTTGATAATAGTTTGTATTCAAGATCAAGGCAAATGTCAAACATTCGTGCATATTAACTACATAACACAATTATCAATACAATGTAAGTAATGAACTTTTATAACGAAGTAGGATCCTTTCCCCCCCCCCCCCTCCCCTTCCCCTCGAGTGACCTACCTGTAACGAGATCCCTTAGATGTGTATGATAATTCTTTAAGCAAGAAAGTCCAGTAATTTTTCTACATTAAGCCAAAAGCAATACCACCTTTCTTTTATACTAGGATAGTGAAGGCTCTATGAACCTGAGAAAGTGCATGAATGATGCGACACTTTTCTGTACTGCATGCAATGAAGTGCTTGCTTTTTCCACAATGGCAAACAAAATGATGTTTAGCTCAGAAGGACAAGAATGGAGGAGCACTCCAGCTCATTGCACTATAGCTGCACAATTTGCATGATAGCAGACAGCACAGATCTTAATGCTTGAGAAAGATAATTGCACTTGCTTGGCTAAAAGCCCCAGTGGAATTAGACAGAAGGCAAAAATATCTAATCAAAATCCTCCCAATTCTACTGATTTTGCCAAGATTACTGAACATAGTTCGAAGCAATACTTAGCATAGAGTTATTTCGCAACAATTTAGCAGACAAATTAAGATGGATGGAGAATTCCATAATACAGAATGACAAACTCTTACAGGAAGACAAAGATCAGAAGTTCCGGTCCATGTCATTCCCTTAAGCAAACTCAATACATACAATGTACCAACTTAGCATCCCTAAACTTTCAAATCCCAGTGTCAAAGAGAGCTGTATGAGCGAAGAAAGATGCATAAGTGACAACAAATGAAGTAAATAGACTCCCCAGTCACATATCACACATTTATACACTTACAAGAGTTAAAACATAAGCCTCCAAAAATAGTTCAACAAAAGTCTGATCTGAACTTCTTACGAACTGATATGCAGCCCCTCTGATGATCCCTGAAGATCCTGATCTCAGAACAATCCCTCAAATCCTCAAGACTAATATATTGTTGCTTCACCATCCTAGAGAAATCACATCCAGTATCATGTATCCAGATATAGGGTTGACATGTTTCATCATAGTAATACAGCAAGCTCCTCATCCCTCCTCCATTGCTTCCTTTTCCTTTGCCAGGCATGTAACTCTTATAAATACTCTTGCATTTCAGCCTTTTCGATGATCCTGGCTTCAAAGAATGAGCTTTCTTGAGTATTGATCCCACTCTTACCTGCAACTCAATTGCCTTGTCACTGAAGTTCCAAATCCTGGTTCCAACTCCTGTGACTTGCGTATGATCACGACATCCATTGAAGCACTTCGCAAGCGAGAGAAAGCTTATCTTTCGCATTTTAGCCCCAGAGAGTCTCAAACTTGGGAGCTATCGATTTGCAGTTATCAGAGTTTGGTGATGTTTCTAATCAGGGAGACACTACACTAAAACCATAACTCTCGGTGTTCATTCTAATGTCTGCTGATTTTGATCATTGATTGCTGGTCCTACGAAAAATCTATCATCAATAGTCCACTCCTGATATTAAGAGAACTCATTCCTAAGAGCAGAAAGTTTGTTAGTATAGGGACGCCCTTTGAGCACTTTATTAGAGGATTAACATTTTGAGCAAAACAGAAAGTTAAATTTTATCGCAACTAACACCTTTTGGGCCTGTTAGGAGAGCAAAAAGAAACAAAAGGCGCCCATAAAGCTCTCAGAACTTAGAATGTCATGATGAAGTGGTATACTTTGTTGCTTCTACTTTCATCATTATGCTCATGCTTTTGCATAGACTTTTCTTTCAAGTTTCAAACAAGCATCTTCCCCTGATCCCAGCAAAACTTAAACTATTATACGTATTTCGGTTGACCCTGACTTTTGATCTACCATCCATTTGGTATGAAGCACTAACAATAGTTAGTTGATTTGATCCCACGATTGCCTTTCTCAGTGGAACTGTAAAAAGTGCAGCAGCTGGTAATGGTGATTGTTGTGAATTTCAGCATTCTGGAATCGTATGAATAGTGCTACCTCTTCATAAGCGAATTGACTATAAACCAAGGTAAGGACCACAGCCGACATCAACCCCAGTAAGAAACTCAACTGGCCACCCCTTAAGGCCTTAATTAACACCATATGTCTGAAATCAATTTTGTTTATTTGCATGCGAGCATGGTCACATGCATTCATTCATCACCTGTATGGTGGTTTTATTTCATTTACCTGGTGGTCCGAACAAAAGATTTTCTTCTTTTATAATTTTATTGCTCAACTACTATAAAGGGATAGGTAGCAACATCAGGTGCGGGAATTTGGACTTGCTATCCCAGATTAGTGAAGTTGGTCTTCTGGTTTTCCTACTCTATTAATGATTTTAATCTAACATCCATTCTCAGCCACAAATTGGAGCCGATAATCAGAAGGCTAAAGAATGCCCATGTATTCATTCCATTGCTGCAGCAAAAGAACCAATTAATATGAAAAAACAAAGGACTAGCAATATGTATTAGCAGTTTATACCATTTCAAGATGATGCAAAAAGGGATTTCTCACACGAGAGAGAGAGAGAGAGAATAAAGTACAGAAGAGTGGAGCAACATTTACATGGAAAGACTAAAACTAGTTCATTTATGAATTTGACTGATAGGGTTTTTTCTTTGAAGTACAAAACTGATTGCTATCCATGAAATATACCTCATGCTCTCCAAAGTCGAAATGGTGTGTATTGTGTAACATTATCAGACTGTACAAGTGAAGAATATCTATTAACCATTATCAGATGGTGATGATGACAAGAACATTGGAGAGGTATACTCTATAAAAATAGATTAGTCAAAAGAATTTACATTAACAAGAGGTCTACTTCTCGTGATTATCTTGAGAGGGATCTATCTTGATTATAAATGGTTCATTAAGATGTACAGGAGAATCAGCCACAATCGGCAACTGCGGTGACGGAGCAATACCATCGAAGTCCTCATTTTCAGCCAATGCTTTCTCCAAAGCCCTCTTTGCAACTCTCGTTACACAGAATATTAGAATGACTGCAAGGACAGCCAAATGAGAAGTAAACATCTGGACCTCAAACAAAGTCAACGTTCTTAGGAGATGACATTTACCAACAATGCTCATGAAGAATACAACCTTCTTCATGTCAGAGTTCATATTTCATATTTCAATTTCTATTAGCACTGAGACCCTACAGGGAAAGTACAGGAAAATACAGAAGCCACTAACAACAGATCTATACAATCCATGGGTCAAGATGGAACTCATGGAAGATGAAAGGAGAACCAACAAAACTTACCAGACACTACAAGGCCCAATGCAATAAATGCCTGCATCACAAAAAACAGAACACAGGAGCACAAGTCAGAATTCACAAAGAAGAGAACTTCATCTTTGTTCTAAACATTTTCATGTCATGATTTGATGATTAGAACGTGGAAAATAAATCTTGGAAACAGATATTCAGGCCAAAAGGTAGTCAGAAAACAGCAAAAGCTTTATATTCCTCTCATGCAAGCACCACTGTTGCTCACAGAAACCAGAGTTAATAAAGACTAGATCCAGTATTACATGTCGCCACTCGATTGAATTTGACTACTACGTGCAAAGAAAGCGCAGATACAATATACTTGCAGATTTTAACATCATCTGACTCATGCCCTTTACTTAAGAACCCAAGACTATGCAACATAGGAAAAAGTGGGCTGTAAAGTGGGAACCGTGTAAACGATATATATAAAGCTAGTCTTTCTTTCCTTTTGTAACATTTTAAGTATCTTGGAGAGTGCATGTAAACTTTGATATCTTAGTTACAGGCAGCAGTAATTTTTGTTAATAAAAAACCGGGTGTGATTCTAAACATTTGAAAGCCAGAAGTAAACTATTCAGTGTCAATGATGATATCATCAGCAATGGGTGTGTAAAATAGCAATATATACATACAAGTAGCCACCAGAAAATTTCAAAGAGAACAAAAAAGAAAAAGAAAAAATAAAATATTCAAAAGTGGTTCTCCTCCTTCCTCAACAGCAAACATGAACATACATGTAGGATCTATGTGAGCATATGCAGGCAATATCTATCATACAGCTATAACATGTAACCAAGTTTCACCAATTAAACCCTCGCTAGAGTTGAGATTAACAATTCAAATCACATTCAATGATGGAACCATTCGCAGTGAAGGGGAGGACCAGACTATTTACTGCAGTATGTGAGCCATCAATTAAGATCATCATTTTTCCCCCTTCTCATACTTGGAATAAGCAAATAATGTCAATATTTGGAAACTTGCATCTTATTCTTATTCAAGGAAAAAGAAAAGGGAAACCAAAACCATCTAGGTTAATCAAGGATGAGTGTCAGGCTTGGCTCTTACCCAACGAGTTTTCGAGAATTCACTCCATCCATGAGTTACATCAGAAAGATCCTTCAACGTTGTTCCAACATATACCAGAGCTAGAGTTATTGGCTGCACAGAAAAGAATAATAGACAAGTTTAAAACTATAGAACGTACAGATGAAAACATAGTTGAGAGATGTATAATGGCTTCATTTTTTGTTGGCACAACTTAGGTCAAGTCACAAGTGAAGCTCCTACAAACCAAGTTTGATAAAGACATACATAGTGTCATTCAAAACATTCAATTACAAACAATTTCTAGTTAGATACATACCATCATTCCCAACCATGAAGCCAGCACATATTCGCCAAAGGGTACTGGAGTGACGGACAGTAGGTAGTTTAACATGTTAAATGGAAGTAAAGGAACAAGTCGTAGGAGCAGCACAATCTGTCACAAAGCCATAGGTTAACTTATAATTGAAGAACTCTCCTACAAGGTACAGATAACGGAAGTAGAGGATTAACTGAATTAACAACCCAACCTTAAAGCCAGATCTCCGAATAGCAATTGCAACTGCTTGGAACTGTGGATAGTCTTTTAATTTGGAAATAACAAATGACCTCCCAATCTATTGTGACATAGCACAAGAACATTCATTAGCAAGATGAAGCATCCAGTTTAAGGCAATAGTTGATTATACATTCTCAAGGGAAGATGACTAAAAAGATTTTTTTTTCTTTTAGCAAATGAAAAGTTTTTTTTTTTTTGAGCAATTGAAAAAGTTAAACATAGAGATAATGGAGCTCAAGGAAATGGCTGTCACAAAACTTACAGTTCTGCCAAGAAGAAATGCTGCACCAGCACCAATTGAAGCACCAAGGGAATCAGCGATGAAACCCACAGGCAAGCCAAAAAGATAACCACCACCTAGCTGAAAGAATTACCGAATAAAAGTTTGGCTACATAAGAACTGAGCATTATTACAAAAGACCGCACTATATTTTCTCTAAATAGAACTGAACTCTCAGCAGTGAAAGGACAGTCAATTGATTTATCAATCAAAACTACATTCAAGAACATCACTCAGCTCGCTAGATCAAATTATTTTGACAAGTAAGCTTTTAATGTTACCACTTTTGAATAGTCCAGTCACTTCAACATACTTGAGTTCAATTACTGCACTAAATTTTCACAAAAATCTTGTCTGTCAATTAGTGGAATAATATGTTGGCAGATGTTCCTCCTATACACGAGAAACAGAAAAATCAATTATGACTTTACAAGAAAAAGGTAGACATCATACTGTGAGTATTGAAGCTGGAACTGCCAGAATTGTCAGGGGGATATACGCAACCGCCCTGCGAGTTTCAGAAATCACATTAGCACAAGCTTAGAAGCACAACAACACATTCATGTCCTATGATATCATTTATATAGCTATGATCCTAATTTCAGAGGTGATCAAGTACAGTAGGCTCTTGATCTACGAATCCAGTGTACAACGATTTCATAGAAACCACGTCAACACATTCTTGCTTATGCTTTTTGCCTCAGCAAACCATAATATACATAACAACAGAACAATTGTTCTTAGTAGACACTTAACCACCCCAATACAAGGACAACTTTCTAAATTTTATTCAATGAAAATGTTTAAGTTTTGAAGACACAACCACCAGTGAAATAGAGAAACAATTATCCGGAATAGTTTTACCAAAATAACAATACATAGCAACTGATCACAATAGTCTTGGTGCAATAAGTTATACATCTCCATAGGCACAGTCCTTTATATTCTAAACAAAATTCGAGAAACGCAATCTGAAAGAAAAAACGATGTCTATGCTACTTTATTAATGCACAAAATGTCACTGTTGTCTCACGTTATTGACTACCATGTAACCAATCATTCTCATAATTCATCAATTCTCTTTAAGAGAAGGCCATCGTTAATCTCAGGGGGATTATTTATAATAAACATGTACACTGCAAATGCATCAACTATGTTTCTCAAAACAAGAAAACCAGAAACCAAAATACATTAAGAGAAAACAACAAAACTCTATCAGCAAAAACCATACTTACAAAACAAAAGGACCCCAAGGACCAAGATCCTGCTCTACCCATACTAAAAAGTTCTTCAGCATCTGCAAAAATAAACAAGTTATATAAGCACATAATTTTGGCAACCATAAGTTACTCCACGAAACAACAGTTTAGATGACAATATTTGGGATCCTAAGTGAAACCAAAACTAAACACTATACCTCCTGACATAAAGCCTAAACCCTAATGCCCCTTATTGGAGAGAGAGAAGATTATAGAGGGTAGACGAGTATCATACCAAATCATTCATGTTAAATTCTGAGCTCCAACAAGGACTATAATTTCAAGCACAATGAAAGGGTTACTGCACAAGATGCAACTTTTATCTATGCGAATAAAGTTGAAAATTTATGTGTTATATTATGCTATCAATGGGAAAGGCATATGCTAATGAAGCTTATTACACATATCTACTGTCCATATAACTACTCCTTTGATCTCTTGTTGCATTTACATCCTTTTCAAATTGTTGCAAATGTTCTTGAATGAAAAGTTTCAACTAAAAATCTTAATTTGCTTCAACGTTTTAAAACAAGAAAAAGGGTATTGGGTCCTATTATATCCTCAAAATTGAAAATTATATGATCATTGTCACATATATTTCCTTTTCCTCTACAGACAACGTACCCTTCCAGCCCTTACTTAATGCTCATGATTATCAAATTAAGTCATTCAACTTGGGTGAAAGGGAGCATGTAAGTAAAAGATTAAATGATGGACAAAGTTTACATATGCTCTAAAACATTCCCACTGTCCTTTAGTGATCATATATTTTCCTGAAAAGTAACATTAAAATGCAGGGTCCAGGAACATATCCTGGCAAGTGCCTCCTGCCTAGCAAGAAAAATTCTTCCACTTAGCTATAGATGGCAGGCCAAGAAGTCAAAGTTTCTTTGACTTAGCTACAGATGGTAAAGCCAAGAGGTCAAGGTCCCATTCTTCCGCTTGCTCATACCACTACCTACAAACTAACCAGCCATCATATTTGTATCAGGTAGCATGATACTGGTGCCAAGGATGGCCATTACTATTCATTGAAAAATCACATTGTTATACTACTAGCATACTTTTTTACATGTTATTTCAGTCGATTTTTTAATCACTATTCTCTGTAAGCTTAAATATCTTATCTTGATTTTTTAGCCAAAAAACACTTAGTTGATACCACCTCTTGATGACGTCCATTGTTCAGTCATGTCTAATAATGTCAGAAAATAAGCTTTCGTGGTTCCAGATCTCTGATGTTAGATAAGAAGTCCTAGATGGAGAATGGAATCTTTCAACCTCAAATTTTATGAACCTAAGAAGCGGCATTGGTGTTAGAAGGCCTTAAAAAAAAAGCACACACATACATATTGCCACATTCAGAGAACAACAAAGACATGACCACTAGAGAATTTATCGTATAGGATGGTGCACCTAATTAGAAAAAAGCAGATCCTGCAAGATGATAAGCATCACAATGAGTTCTTAATTGGCAATATAGATGAAGTGAAGATAGTCAAAACACTTCAGCAGCTTAAGCTCTAGCTCTACTCTACTGTGGTATTCTTTTTTTTTTCCCCATTATTTTCTCTTTGGGGTCTCTATTTCTTTTCTTGACACTTCTTTAGGTCCAGCTAAACTTAGTCTTACAGTCGCTAGACTCAAAAAACATATGGAACAAAATCTTCAACAATTTTGATAGAAGTAAACCGAATCAGACTAAATCGCAGATTGATGGCATCACATATAAAACGGTACACCAACGTAAATGGCAGAAAAAGGTTGTACAATACGAAGGTAAATGCCAAATGCACAAGCATAGAAGCAAACATTAATTAAAAAAACTGGAAAAAGCAAGAAGTCAAGGTGTCCCAGGTAAATGTACCTGATGTGACAAAGAATGCATCGAGGTAATTCTCACTTAACAAAAATTGTGCGCACTCATGATTCAAAATGAAAAATCTCAGAAAATAAACAAATTTTGGATAAATTAAGAAAGCCCAGATCAATCAATACTTGGAATCATCCAAAGTTACACCAGAAGTGCAAAAATCAGGAAGGAAAACAAACCAGACCTAGATCAGGAAAAAGAACAAAAAGTCCAACAAAGCACAAAAAAATCAGCAAAATAGAACAAAATAAACCTGAACCCGATGAAAATTCGTACCTTTTCAATGGGGAGAGTGTAACAAGCCGTGGCAATAGCAGCAACAAGGATCAAAAAAAGGGTAATTTTGAAGAAAGAAACCCAGCTGAATTTGAACGCCATTATTGATAAAGAAAGCCTTTTTCGCCAAGGCCTACACTCCTCTTCGTCTTGGTCCTCTGGATAATTGGATTGTTTGAATGGCAACCGAGGCCTTAAATTCAATCCGCCTAAATTTGCCAGATTTTCTCAATTGAAATGAAAAAAGGAGAAAAAAAAAAACTAAAAACCCACAATTACTTAGTTTGAATAGAATCCCAAACTTTAGCCCATGTATTTCTGGTTTTCCAAAACACACTCAACTGATTCTTCTCTGCGTATAGATATTAGATAGTCCGTTTTTGTGAGTGTGCTCGGAAGGTGGATTATGTTTTCCTTTTCTTTTCTTTTCTTTTTTTTTTATGTCGAAGAAAGAGATGACGGCAGGAGTTAATTTACTTTTTTGTTTGCTTCTTTTTAGTTTCCTTAATCACTCGGTCTTGTTATTGTTTCCTTGGTCAAGGTTCAATGTGCTTGGAAAGCAACTTCGCAAAAGTGAGATCCAAGTCTTCTAATTTTTTGTTTTCTTTTACCTTTCTAGTATTTAACCTTTTTGGTGTGTGTTGGGCTATGTTTGGCTCCACGTAGGGGCGTAAATTGTAAACGAAACTTTTTAGTCACTCGAACACCTAGTGTTCAAATTTATTTAATTATTTTAACGAGTTTAAAATTATTGTGTTCAAGTTGAGTTTGTTTACTTAATTTATTACATTTAAATGAAATTTTATTGACCTGAAGTCCTCTCGAATTCGAGTACTTTGAATCCGTTGCCTAAAAATTTTAATTTTATGCTAATCGAGCTATATCCTAACGAAAGTCAAGAATTGTAAAACTAAAATTAGACAAAAATGAAATAAAACATTATAAAGAAGAAACATATTGGAACACTCACAATTTGAGAGAAGTCATCTGATTTTCTTTCGTTACATTTTTTTTTTTTTTTGGCAAGGGGTCTTGATTAAATACCTCTACAAGCGTCAACAACAATTACATCATGCTAGATAAACTCCAGCAAACAAATGCAAACACTAATATAATAGATGTAGACGCTAACACAACGAATTTTTTTTTTCAGTTATTGAATTTTGTGTCTAAAAATTGTGTTAACATTTGCATTTTTATTGATTTAACTTCTACATTATTATTTTAATATCTATACTGTGCAGTGCAATTGTGCCTGACAATTGCAGTGCAGGTTACTAGCAAGTGATGTTTACTAAGGATTGACCCGTAAGGATTGATCCGGACACCCCTCTGTGTCGATAAAAAAAAAAAAAAAAAAAAGTGATGTTTACTAAGAACATCAAGAAACTTTTAAATTTACTTGCCTAGGTACAGCTGTGAAAGGGGTACCCCGACCCCCAGAAAATAAACAGGAGGGTGTTCTTCAAACACAAGGCAGTGACAAAAGGCATAAATCCATAGCCACTAAATACAAACACAAGCATACGAGTCAACCACTGAAGAACGCTCCAAAAGAAAACAAGAGCAGAAAAAGAGTACCAAGTGCACAACATCCTAGTTGCAGCTTTCTTTTTCTCTCATTTTCTTAAGAGAACTCAAGAATTCGGCAAATAAACCCTGTATCCCTGTGCTATCGTCAAAAGCCGGCAACTTTTGACAACGCTCAAGGGACTTATCTACCCATTCCCAAACCCCCCCTCCCAGTACCGACGTGGGAACGAAACCCCCCACAGGGGCAGCTTTCGATGGTAACTTTAGGTGATCGATTTTGATGATACTTAACATCGTACTTTATTGGAACTTTACAGCAAAACGGTTATAAAAAATAAAGAATCTATAGATGTATTCAACTATTCTACAGTGGTATTTGACCAAGTGGGACACCAACGAACGACAGAAAATGAAAAGAATCACTACTGAATTTTCACAGTACAACCAAATGTAAGTAGTATGGAAGGACCAATTTAGTCCAACCTCCTATGATTGCGCTTCCTTCTTTGCCTTGGCAGACCATCTTTCCTCTATCAAAATCTCAACAGCCCGGCTTGAACTTTCACTATGCCAATACTTTCCTGCACTCGCCGACTCCCAACTAAGAATTGAGGCATTGACAGCAAAAGGCCTCCCAAGTGAGCAATATGGTTTTGCCTTGATACACTACGATCTTGCGCATAACGCGTTCAGCAGTACATGACCAAGCATAAGGTCCACAAAATACTGGTGACCAATTTGGCCATCCCTCCACTTCATCTTCAGCGGGGCACGGCCATAATGAACCCCATCGTTGGCCCTGTTATCATAGTGCCACGGAAAGGTCATATCAAAATCATCGATCACTCTGCTGATCACATTGTACTGCCTCAACTTATCTATCACTACTCCATTGAAGGCCTCCATCTTGGACGGATTAAATCCCAAGCTTCTAGCATAGCCACCAGTTGTCACGGTGGTTCTATATATGACTTCTGGCAGGGGCATCCCCTTCCTCCTCAGCCCTTCCAATATCTCAGACCAAAATGCTGCGGCATAATCTGCTCCCTTGATGAAATGCCTAAGATTAGGCCAATAGATCCCGTCGTGTAAACCAGAATTCATTATCAAAGTGTCTGGGACAACTTCACGTGAAAAGTAACCTTTCAACAATTCTCTGTACTCTGCGTTTGACAATGAGTTCAATCCCTGATAGTTTGAAGTTTCATTCCAATGACCGTTGAAAATGCTCGTAATTCGAACAACTTGCGAAGGATTCTTGGGATTTGTGATGTTCATATCGAACCTTCGAGGAACAGTTGCAAAGTCCAATCCTAGGATGAAGTTAAGGATGTTACGGATGGTGTCACAATGGTTTGAGTCTCCCCACCAGAAAATCCAGCGATTACTTAAGCAATTCCAGGCTTGTTCACTGTTAAACATCTTAAATGAACAATGTGTTGAATACACCCAACCATTACTTTCCAAAATCCCCATAGGGCCATCACACCATGGATGTTGGCAGGGGAACAGTGGTTCTTGGCATCTGTATCGTCCATCGTAACTAATAGGGCAGCTATCATTCTTGGCATGCCGAGTCCATCGACCAGACCAAACATCTCTGACAAAATCAGACTTCACGCATTGACAGATTTCTGGTAACTGAGCGGATGATTTCTGGAATTTAATTGGGAAAACACGAAGAACTCTATCAATTGCAAATCTAGCAGGAGAAAATTTTAGTCCTTCATAATGTCGAAACAGCAGAATAATGGTAAGATTATAACGTCCTTCAAAATCTGGATGGACTTGGAGCCGAAATGTGTAGGTGCCATTCCCCATATCCGTAATTGGAGGCCTAGACTTCCAATTTTCACCAGAAAGGTCAATTTCAAAATAATCACCACCTAAGCAATGATGCTTTCCAAAACCATCCAATGCCTGGATCCTAAATTCATGGATATCTCCAGTAGACAACTCGATACTCTCCTGACCATCCAGACTTGGGACTGAGATACCCTCAGTTCTTGAATCCTTACACGGTTCACCACCAGGAGCCAACCAACCAGAAAGCAACGTTGATGAATAATTTGCCTCTAATTCAGCTAAAACCCAAGGGATAATCATTGGCTTAACAGTGTCTTCCAAATTTTCATCTTTTCGGGCTGAAAACAGGGGTAAAGCTTGAGGATCAAAACGGGTATCATTAACTCCCTTCTCAGCCAAATTGGCTGGTTCAGGAGCAACATCTGGAGCCAAAATTTCGTGGATTTTTGTCAAGTTTCTCAGGGTGTGATTCAGATTCAGGTAATGCTGTCTTATATACGGCTGAAGTTGAGAAACATCAGTAATGTTCAAATCTTGAAGGCTTTTTGTCAAGTTTGTACTACTATTATTAATCTTCAAAGTAACAAAATTCCTCTGAAGTCCACCCATATATATACCATCCATGCTACAAAAAATCAACATCCCAAGAAAGACAGCCATCAATAAAATCTTGAAACCCCAATGAACAGTAGGATAAATCCATGCAAAGTTCCCAACTTTCTCTGGCATGTGAGGAGACATCATTGTATTTCCTAACATAATTGCCAAAACCAGCAAAAACTCACTAAAAATTTAAGCACTATAATAACGTAAAGGAATTAAAATTTCCCATAAAACTCGCTGACAAACATACCCAAAATATACGCAGTGTACTAGTAAACAATAGAATTGCAGGTTTCTTGAAAAGATAAAACAAATAATTATTCTATAATACTTACCGTTAAGCTTCAATTTTCTGCTGAAAGATGATAAATGCACATCAAAGTTGGAGCGGTATAAACTTTTTTATCCAGCTAGCTAGCAGCTTATGAACTAATACAAAAGAAACTCCAGATGAATTGTGCAGAAATCAAAGAAAAGAAGACAGAGAAAAAGAGGGAGAGTTCAATAATGGAAGATAAGAACACTTAGTGGAGCACTAGACTACAAACTACAAAGTAGAAGTGGAGCAGGAGGGGAAAACTACTGGTTTTTAATGATGATAATACCCTTCCAAGGGATCAAAATTACGTTGAGGCACGTAAAGGACGATTTGTACGGCGCCGACAGACTGGTGGGCAAAACTGGCATCTGAAATTGATCCGTGCTCCACATTAGTACGAACAGTTAAATTTAAAATTTTTTTCCTCGCATCATCGTTTTATTTATGGGATAATATCAGAAACCTACCCTTAGGAGGTTTCTCTTAGCATCACCTAAGGTTTCAAAAATATCACTTACCTCTCTTACTTTAGTTATTTGTGTATCAAAATTTTTAAAAATCCTAAACTACCCTTTCACTTACTAAATAAAAATGTTCCTAAGTCACTTTGTTTACTTCAAGAAAACCATCACTTCGAAAACAATCTCTTGTAGTACTACTACATCACAATGCTATATCCTATAAAAATATAAATTTGAAAAATAAAAATGATATTTGAAAAGAAATACATTTGTATCAATTTAATTCGATATGCTCAAAATCGATTTCTTATGAATTTACATTTTTTCCACCATCTTCTTAACCCTTGCTCAAACCATAAAATTATACCAATTATTATAAAAATCAACTCAAAATAAGCAAATAAATAGTACCCTACTTTATCACAATCACAAAAGGTAAAAGATAAATAAAATTTAATTTTTTATAATTTATAATATAATATTGCATATTCATCCAAAAATATATGAGTAAGAGAGAATGATGGAGAAAAGGGAAAAAGAAGAAAGTGACTTCCATTTCTTTTTTTTTTTTAAATTTGAGCTTCATTTAGTTAATATGTTGTAAAATATGTGTTAAATGAGGGTTAATATAGTCTTTTGACAATTATTAGGGGAGGAAAGTGATATTTCTAAAATCTCAAGAGTGCTAAGTGATATTAAGAGAGGTTTCTAATATTATCCCTTTATTTATACTTAGTTGTAGACAAGAAAGAAGAGGAAATACACAAAAGGGTATGAAGCCTTATTTAACAAGAAAGACAAGACACAATCATTTAATGTGTATTTAGAAATAAAAGTATTTCTATTGATTTATATGAATAATGTACCCTTTTGCTCAAGTTGTTTTTACCATTTTAGGCAAAAAATTCTTTTTGAATTGCAAAAAGATAGTAAAATAGAACAAAGGAAAAAATATAGTGGAAAGACAACTTAAGAAAAAAGCAATCAAAAGGAGAGGTTGTAAATTAACTTAGATTATGTTAAATTATATTACGTCTAAGCAAACAATGCCATTATAGTAACTTTGGTAATTAAACTTTTTTCTTGTAAAATATTAATCATTACTATAAATATTACATTGTATTCAATTTTTTTTTTGAAAATTTCTATTTTGCCTAATTAATATATATGCCTATGATAACAATTTATTAGTGAAATTCTCAAAATATTTAAGCCTTGTTCTCAACTGATTTTCAAGACCTGATATTAGATTTTAATTTTGAAAAAGTTATTCTCAATTAAAAATAAAATAAAAAATAAAAATATATATTTCGATGCTTTTTAACTCTGATTCTCTAAAATCAACTTTTACACAATCAGAATTAATTAGGAACAGGACCTTAGTCCAATAGCTCTCGGCTTTTTTTTGAAAAGAGATTTTCTACTAAAAAATTTCCACGTTTTCTGTAAAAATATTTTCAATTATTTGTTTTACCTCACATATATCAAATCACTACAATATATTTTTTACAAAAAATTTCAGAAAATTGCAATCCAAGTACAACCGTGTTGCTCAAACAGTAGTCCATTCCAACTCCAGTTTGGACTTGAATCATTCTTGTTAAAATGAAGTGGAAGTTTATTAATTGGTAAAAATAAATTTCCAAGGGATCGATGTCGGTGCCAGTTTAGCCTTAACATGGGTGGTCGATGCTTCTCCAAGGAGTAACACCAAACGAGAAATCTCAAATCTGTCCAAGAAAGTGATACTAGAAAATGAACCCCAAAAAAAAAAAAAAAGTGTCGACGCGTGAATTCTGCAGACAGAGGAATTATTAAATTTGAATACGCTGAAACGGCGGTGGGGGCGTGTCTGTTCTTTTGTGGATCCATGTGCATGCCCATGGTGGTTCCAGGCTTCCAGCTCAACTGCAGCTACGTGCCCCGCCCCCTTAGATTTTCTCATTTCATTAATTAGTCTCATTTTCTTCCATTATAAATCTGCAGGCGGAATGAAATCTTGTCTTCACGAAAAGATCACACATTCATCAAGTTTTTGTCATAGTCATTTGTCAATTAATGCCAACACAAGTTACTTCAGCCGTTTAGATAACAAAAACGAACACATTCTCGTAATAGTAATAGATTGTGTGTTACGTAAAAATCTTTATATAAATTACCTATGAACGATTTATAGTCTCAAAAACATATAAACGATTTATGATTTAAAAAAAAAAATGCTCTGACCTATGATGATGATGATGATCGAAATCGAATCCGTTCAAATTTTTTTCTAAAAAAAAAAAAATTATCAACTAATCATAGGTCAAGGTGGAAGTCCTCTTCTTTATTCCTCTTAACAGCAAACAACGGGTTTGTTTGGATTGTGAATTATTAGAGATATTTTTACTGTAGCACTTTTTGTGATGTAATGTATGTGAGATAAAATGATAATTGAGAAGATAAAAAGGTGTGTTAGAAATTGTAATGATGATGTAAGTAAATATATTTTGGCAAATAAACAGCAATCGAAACGAACTTGCCAGACGATCAAATTCGAAAGCTACTTTTGGGAAAGAAAGTGATCGAGTTGAATTTTACATCTCAAAACACTAAAGTGCTTTTTCATAGATCCCTCCATCTAAGGACGAATGTAATGTACCGTTAAAGGCTATGTTTGGATTTCCAATTTTAGAATTTTTTTTATAAAAAAAATATATTATAATGATTTGATGTATATGAAATTTTAAAAAAAATATATATTTAGAAAATATGGTCATAAAAAATGTAGAAATTTTTTGCTGCGAAAAACTTCGATCCAATCAAGACTGCTTCATGTTTAATTGAGAAAAAACAGTTGAATGAAGTGAATGCTTTCATTCTATCATCCTGCAATAAGTTACCCTTGTTTTGTGGCCTTTCTTAAATAATCGTACAGTAGTATTTTATTAGGCAAGATTCAAGGCCCTCATAATTAGCTCGATCTTTGCATGAAAGGGCCATGCAGTATCTTATTGGGGACTTTCCTTAACAATCTTCCAGCCCATGTTGTGGCCACTGTACTTTTCTTTTAGAACACTAAGCTTAATTCAACTATTCAAGGAAAGGAAAACGGTAGAAGAAGAATTAATAGCTTTCTCACATGTCTCGAGCATTTTTTCTGGAGGAAATATTTATCCAATTATTTTTTTTGGAGAATTACTATTGATTGGTCCCTCGTTGTGGTCATTGCATAAATCCTTCTTCAATCCCTCATTTAATTTCCATCATCATCATCATCCTCCTCCTCCTTCTGTAGCTAGCACTACCTCCTATACCATAACACAATGGGAGGAAGGTTAGCTAATTTTTTTTTTTTTCCCAGACGGAGGGGTATCCGGATCACCGGATAAACCGAACCCGACTAATCCCCCGGTCCGAGAGGAGAGACCTCGTCCCCTCGAACACGTTAACCCTGGACTCGATCCCTGGTAGGGGAGATGGACAACGGTCGCTTAGGAGCTTCCGTGACCAAACGAGCTGCTCAGGAGAGGCAGGTTAGCTAATTCGCTTGTTACTATACTATTGTCAGTCTCATGAAACAATCTCACATGGCAAGATATCATATGTTCCCCTCATCCACCACATGCATCAGCTACCATTCTCTGTCCCACTCACCAATCACATTGATTGTTTTTAATGAATAATTACAATCAATACAAAGTTGATTGCCTTATTAGCTGAACTAATATGTACCATTGAAAATATGTAAAACGGAAATAGAAGTTCTGGCCAGTTTTTGGATGGAACAATCTTACATCAATCTGGTGTTAAGAACTATGAAATATCCATGGATATATATAACTGGTTAGGGAAACTGCTTCTTTTAAATTTTCTTTTACTGATAATTTTTTTTCTCCTTTCCATAGTACATTATGCTTCTATGCCTTTAAATTCTGGCATTTTCCTACTTTCTGCATGTTGAAACATTGAAAGCCAACAAGTTTGATCTTTAGTTTTTGACTGCGTGGGTGCTTTAAAGTTCGAACTTCTGCTTTTCGATAAAGCTCAAGTTATCAGCATATTTGCATGAATGGCAATTGGACAGAGTAAAATATTTCCCAACTGCATTTGGTTAACATTTTAATGGAATAGATGTAAAGGGTTTAGATGGAGGAGTTAAAGGATAAGGTAACTGCAGGTGAGAAGGATCTTGAAGCTTAGCAGGATAGGAATCCATAAAACTAGGCATGTGCCTCTGCCTTGAGGGTGGTGGTGGAAATTGGCAGGGTTGGGTAAATGTGATTCTTGAATCTTTTGGCCATCTGGGCACAGGCAATCTTTTGGTTTTTACCTTGATTTCGTCGCAAACTTCTCCACAGCTACAACCATGGGAGGAATGAATTTATCATGGTACAGAGGAGGACTACTGCTACTTTTATTCTTTTATTGTATTTGTTAATACTCATAAAAGTGGAAGCTCCATCGCCATTGAGCAGCCCATTACCATTAATCACCACACCAGTGACATTGCAAATACAGACCCTTCAACACGTGCAATCTTAGTAGCGAAATCATCTTCTCGAGAAATGGAGAGCACAGATCTGAGCAAACCAAAACGTAGTTGGTGGCATCAGTTATGACTGATGCCAGCGTCCAAGTAAGTCGAGCTCACAAGCAGCAATGTGCAAACTGTGAAACCCAAGACTGGTGGTATATGAGAAACCCTCAAATTCCATACCAATCATTTAGAACAGGAAAAATCTTCCCTGTCATCGTTGATTGGGTGTTAGGAATACATACGTAAAGAGAAATTAATCACACCGTACAATTAGACCGAGATCCAA